ATGCGGAACATGTATTGTTATTGCTAGTGTTATTATCTTATTAGCCCATGTTTGCAGCACATAACCCATCTTCACATTCCTCATGTGGAGTTGGTCCATGGACACTACACATTTTCATTCCTTTCCGCACCCCTTTTCGCTCTCTTCCCTTCCCTCCATCAAGAGGCGGAACATACATTTCAAGTGAAGAAAGTAATATACAAAACTGCGTATGTACAATGCGAGTCTAATTATGTAAAAATGGGGATGTATTCATTCTTTTAACCAATATTTACTGAGAGTCCTAGGCATTGTGAACACAGGAGCGAAAAAAGCATCAAAGACTCCTGGATTTTCTACTACAGTGGGTAGGAAAAGGGAATTCCTAACTCATAGGTGAAGGTGGAATGAGCTACAATGAACATGGAGCTTGAGAAAGAGGGTAATGGGGGAAGAGTTTCCCAGGCAGAGAGCAGAGCAGCGCTGAGGGACAGTGACCCCAGAAAGCTCAGCCGAGCCCAGGCTTGGAATCCGGGTGCAGGTTAACGATGCCTTGCTCATGTGGCGCTGTGACTACTGTGAAGTCAGATGATGGAACTTCTCATCCAAACCTTGGGATGTCTCCTGCCTTTCACCAGTGCTTCTTGTGAGAAAGCACCAAGGAGAAATCTGATCAGCAGTGCTCATCACATCTGCCGTGTGACCCAGGGCTCCTAGACACTGTTTGTCTGGGGGAACTAATTAGCAGAACGGTAGACAAAACCACTGTGTCTGCGTCCTTCGGTTACCCCGGCTCAGCTGGGCTTCCCTGAGACGGAGGGAGAATGCCGAATCTGTTTCATAGGATCAGGCTCTCGGGCTCTCGGGTGGCCCATCCTGGTGGACTCTCCGTGCTGCCGACTTCTCTCATGCCTTGGAGTCCTGGTGACCTTGTCTCTTCTGTCTCCCAGGAGACGAGACAGTTTGGCTCAGCTGTCCCTTGATTGTGTGATGGCTTCTTCCTCTCCTTATTGACTTTCCTGAAGTGGAAGGCTAAATATAGGCCCTGGCTGTGCTATCTCACCAGGGCTTTCTGTGCTCGCTGTCCTCTTATCACTAGTAGCCCGACAGAGGCAGGAGGGCAGAGGAGTGGAGATGGGAGTTGGAGAGGCGCTGAAGACAAAGAAAGAGTTTTCCAAGGTTCCCAGGTAGAGTAAGATCAAATGCAGAAGGCAGATGGTGATTTTAACAGGGACGCAGGTATAGCCTTTAGAGAATGAGAGGTGGGATGAACGTGTGTGGACTGAGGAAGAGGCAGTGGCAGTGTGTGGCCGGAGATGGCCCTCTGATGTAGTTAGAAGAGATAACGGTCACCCTCGGACTCTGGTGCTGTGAACTCAGGAGCCTGCAGGGCCAGGCAGGCCGGAAACAGATAAGGGCTATGTGGGTGTGATGCCCTCCCAGATACAGCCCCCAGGAGAGGCGGCTGCTCTACTGGCCAGTTAGGACCCTAGATCTTCTGACTTTTCAAAAGAAAGGAGAGATCGGTGCCTCAGCGTGAGCACTCCAGTTTTTAATCTGGAGACTCTCGAATATCCTTGTGCACCTGTTCCAACGTACTTAAATGTTTCTGATCATTTTCTTATATTTTCTGTGCACCAACTTCCTTCCCTAGTTTTGTCTTAGAGCAGTCAGTGAATACACTTAGATTTGCATAGGTGGGGGATGATTTCCATCCTCCCTTCAAAAAATAAAGACACTTGTGTGAGGATGCAGTGTAGCACCATCCGTGAGACTCCGAGTGTCTGTCGTGAGCAGATGAGGGTTAGGAGGCAGAAGATCCATTCCTGGGTCAGGCTCACGCATTTTCCTTCTGTTTGTTAGGAGATTCCACACTGGGTCCTCATTAATATCAGACATTGCATGGATCGTGGTAAACACTGGCCTACCCACAGGTATTTCAGTGTCTCTCACTGGCCCGTATTCATACAGCCTCACTCCACAGCGTGCTTTGGTATAGTCATGCATTGGAGTCTACTCTAACCCTGCGCAGTAGACATAGTGTTAATAACTTAGTAGCCCTGTCTTCGAAGCTATTGTTTTATAGAGGAGATAAAACATGATGGCATAACAATTCAAAATATGGAGCAGTTTATTGTAAACTTAAAGTTGGGTACTGCTTTTACAGTGGTTAGCCAAGACTGATATAGAACTTCAAATAACTTTCTTTTTACTGTTAATGATATGAAGCCAGAGTTAAAACACCTGTAGAATGCCTGAATTAGTAATTCTAATTATAAATATTGAGTACTAAACACAATGTGTATGTCTGAGCTATATGTATTTATGTGCATTTTATCAGTTCTTACAGTCAGTTCCATAATAACTGCTAAGATTCAGCATTAAATAGCTACAGAAAATGGTGTTTAGAGAGGAAGTGTAATTTATCCAAAATCCAAGAGTCTAAATGGAGGATGTAGAACTTGAATTCAGGGTTGTTTGAAAGTAGAGACCAGACTTAAAATTATGCTCTAAAAGTCTCCTGAAAAAAAGAAAAAGAAGAAAGAGGAGAATATTTTTTCTTGAAGAAAAGTAGGGAATTATTACTTATAAACAGAAAGATTTCTTATCTGGATTCAGTTGATACTCGTGGATTGTATTACTTTTAATGGCATTTTATGATACTAACCTAAGCTTTCATCTTGGTTATGAGATCGATATATTTTTTTCTAAAATATCATAGTGTCATTGAGTTATAGATAAAATATAAACCCATAACAATTTACTGTAGTACCTTATAAGAAATTCAGAAATGTCAAAAAATATGGCACTTCCCAGTTAGTATTTTAAATAATTTAATAGCTTCTATTACTGACTAAATGATACATAACAAGCTTGACTGTAAAGTTTTATTGAGGATTATGCAATATATTCCTTTCCTGGGGAATTATCGGTTGACCTATAGATGGCAAATGTGAGATATATAGTATATTACATTTAAAAATGCATAGAGTTACGGATTCCTATAATTTTGTTTTGGAATGTTTGTTTAGAATGAGATCATCAACTACAGGGAAAGGGTTCCTGAGTACTGGAGGGTTCAGACCATGGTCCCCTGGGCCTGTGGCCGTCTGGCCTGTCCAGGCAGTACCAGCGTCATGGCAGGAACTTGAGGAAAAGCACAACTGTCCACCTTGTGGCCAGGGAGCAAAGGAGGGATGCTGTGAACACATGCTTCCAGTCACCTGAGGGCTCCTACAGCCACACCTCTTAATGTGGCCACCTCCTCCTAGCAGCCCTACCTTGGGACTAAGCTTTAGCACACGAGGCTTGGAGGGACATTTAAGATCTGAACTATATTAAAGGGTTTGAACAATGAAGGAATCTATCAGCTTATATAAAAAGAAGTTCAAAGTTATGGCCCCTTTGAGATCCATAGCATGAAGACTTAAGCCTTGAATTCCTGGCTCTTTCTCAGCTTTGTTTCTGGAGCTATCTCATACATGCATAGATTCAAGATAGCTACACTGATTCCAAGAAGGCTTATCTTATCATGACAATGTCTGGTGGAGAAAAGTGGCCATCTCTCCCTGTGTCCTCTTCCAGAGTTGAATAGACCTTTCTCAGCAGCCTCCCAACTCCATCCCAGGACAGAGATTCCCTCATATTTCATTGGCTGAAATTCCATGCTCACCACCATTCTAAAAGCAATCACTGGCAAAAAAGAATAGGACCACTATAATGGATTTATAGGATCATCCCTGTGAGCTGCGTATTGACCCAGGTTTCTGTAAAAGTACCTGGCTTTAACTCAGAGGTAGATACATGGATGGAACTGGAGCTTTGTTTAGAAAGGAGAAGGAGGAATGGCTACTTGGAGCCAACCAATGATGGTTTTATAGAGCAATTCTAAAAGTAGTAGAGTAAGACATAACTATGGAGTCCGCATAATCTGCCTTTTTTGAGGTTGGCACTTTGATTTCTAGATGGTCCTTTGTTGGAGGTTCCAACGCATGGGATGTCATGGTGGGAAGCATGTGGCGGAGCTACTGCTTGGCTCAGGGGAGCCAGGAAGCAAAAAGAGAGAGGGGAAGTGACCAGTGCCCATTGTTTCTTCAAGCATACACGCCCAGTTAGCCCGACTTCCTCCACCTTCCGACAGTGCCAAGCTGAGGACCAAGCCTTTAGGATCTGGCCATTGAGGGACATTTAAGATCCGAACTTAGCGGTTTCCAACACTGGTGCTGCTGCTCCTCCTAATTAAGGCTTCATAGAAATTCACCCTGGAAGGGACCACTCTGAGACCCAGATTGTTAAATGTCACAGAATGAATTAAAGACAGAGTCAGGGCAGGATATCTTGGCAGTTGGTGCAGGGCATTTTCCTTCACAATTTACTCTGGAGAGTTGGGAACTGTTGGAACCGCTTTCAAACGCATGGCAAGCTCTGGTCACTTTTGTAATTAACACCTCCAGAGAATGCACTTGTTTGGTTTGCTCAGCCAGCTAGAAACCCGGGGGGAGTTTGTGCTGTGTGAAGCCCGCTGAAGTCCTTGGCCTCTGCTTTGATATCATGTGCCTTATTTGATGCAAGTTTTTTATATTCAAAATCTTTGCTGTTGCCTCTTCATTACCATCTTCATCTTCTCTGGCTCTATCCACGATGATCACCTTCTTATTTCTGAAGACTTTGTGGTTGCATTTCCTTTTGTTCACCAGATCCTAACGATGGATTCAGGCTGTGTCCTTCAGCATTCTTCCTTTAGCCTTCCCGGTCGGTCGTGACTTTGACACACATTCATATTGTTGTGTGTCCCCAAATTAGATTCTGGGGTTATTTTGGTAACTACTGCCTTGGGTGAGATTCAAACTAGTAATTAGGGGGTTGAGATAACTTCTCTTGTTACAAGTTTCCTCCTGTTTTTGCATTCCAAGAAGTTGCTACTTCTACTTTTCCTACATAAAATGCACAGTGGCGTGTGATGTATAATCTATCACTAGGCTGAGGGCTTGTGATTTACTTCATTTTTTCTTCATTCCTAGGGCAAGATGTTGACGAATATCAGAAGCATCTTGTGGATGTGCTCAACCTTAATAGTAACCCATGCACTACAGAGAGGTGAGTGTGGAAACACGTTCTTGCTTGCTTGCTGACCTAACAGTTTCAGTACTAGGGGATGGAAGAGCAGCATGGGTTCCCTAGAATAAAGGATTGCCTTTCTTGTCATCTGCTCAGTGCTGTAAATTCTTAGTTAAAATATTAGGAGGCTGAAAACAATGGTCTTAAACCAATCAATGCAAAATAATGAACAGAATGGTAGAGTTACAAGTAGGTTTTTAGGCACATCTAGATTGCCTTTTAACTCATATTTGGCATTGACCCTGTTTAAAAATTCCAGCTTCTCCAATACTGCTTCTCAGAGACTTTTTTTTTTTAATACAGAAAGAAAGTTTATTAAACACCGGAGATTAAGGTTTGAAGAGTCAAGAATATAAAGAAAGGGTTGATAGCAAGAATTTGGACTCTTCTCTCTTTTTTTTTTTTGTTTGAAGTAACTTTGCAAATACACATGCATTCTTTTCTTAGCTTTAAGAAAAGCTAGAGGCTGCTGGGTGTGATGGTGTACACTTCTAAACCCAGGCCTTATAGGCTCAGACAGGAGGATCACCATGAGTTCGAGGCCAGCCTGGGCTACACAGTGAGCTCAAGGATAGCTTAAACTATAGAGTGAGACCCTGTCTCAAAATAATAAGGAAGAAAGAAAGAAAGACAGAAGGAGAGAAAGCAAGCTAGTAGTGATGCTTTTCAAATTCTAGGCTCATCATTTAACGTATTTAAAGAGGCAGGCACATCCAGAATTGGAAGGAGGAGAGTGTGCTGGGCCTCACCTGCGTGCTTCTGCCTGGGCTACTCTCCCAGCTTGCCCTGCCCCCACGCCAGGCTTCGGGCTTTCTGAGGTGATGTCCACAAACACCTTCCCTTTGTCCCGGTGCTGTGCTAGGCAAGCAGCACCTGATGTTAGTTCGTGCTGTTCTCCCCGAGTAGACTGTAGGATGTGAAAGCACTTTCTTCCATCTTCTGGCGGAGCGGCTGGCATGCTGACAGCAGCGAGCCCTTTTCTGTGTTGACTGACTCACTGACTGACTGGATGGATGGATATGGATGGATGAGCGAACGCTGCAGTGAGGGACCCAGGTGGCCCCCCCAGTCTAGGCTCCAGCATCTGTGAGGCTGAAGAGATCTTTTCTTACATTTTCAGGAAGTGAAGGTAAAGGACACAGAGGAAAAGGCAAGACCATCCAGTGAGGGGAGGGGAGGAGCTCTACCGAGGAGGTGGAAAGGGCAGCTGGTCCGGGGCCAGTAATGGAAGGGGCATCGTACAGACTGCAGTGGGCGAACAGCTCTGCACTTAAGTGCAGACCTCGCCTTCGAGAAAGAACTCACGCAGTGAAAAACCAAACAGAGCCACACATACATAGCATAGCTCCTTATAGTGTTTTTAAAAACAATGGTAATAACCAGTCATACTGCGTAAGTTGTATGTATCGGGCTCTGTTCTTTGTAAATCCATGATCACTGTTAAGGTTGTAATGAATCTGAGGTTCATTTAAGAAGACTTTTATTTTTTTCCTATGGAAGGCAGAAACTGAAAATATGAAATCTATATTCAAACATTTCCAAGCTCATAGTGAGATGCAGAGCAGGCATCTGTTGAGTGGACACAAATAGGCACTTTTGTTTCAAGGCTTTTTCCTGCTTATTCCCTGGTGCCCGAGGAATCAATGACCAGCATTCCCGAGCTCCTTATCCCTGCTCTTTTTCAACACATAAGGCGATCTTTGCTGTAGAGATGCTCAGCCTATTAGATTACAAAGCCTCCCAATCATTGGTTACTCAGCATCGATTTCGTTACATTGTTATTCCTCCTCCTGGAGTAAGGCATGAGTGAATGAATGAGCAGGTAACGATATTCATCAAGGGAGCAATAAATTCCCATTTTAAATCTGCCCTCTACTTGGCCAAGGTCTCTGTGTGTGTGTGTGTGTGTGTGTGTGTGTGATCAGATTGTGCAGATGGGATTTCCATTGCCCTCACTCTGCAGAGTCTACTGACAGAATGAAGGGTAACTGACCCTCACTCCTGGAGCTCTCTGCCTCGCTGCACTCAGACCACAAACCACCAGCTGGGAACAGCGCACCTGTCTGTTAGAATTCATTCTATTGCTGGCATCGTCAGAATTCCACACAGCTTCCTGTAGGTAGCAGAGTTTTTAAGAAACATGCATAGCTTCTATATATTATAGGCTGAATTTCTTATCTTAAAATATTTGGATTTAGTGAGCTTAGTTCTTGTGACCCAATGATTTAAGACCCAAGATTTAATAAAACAAAAGATTTGCCCATGCAGCTTTTTGTTAATCTTATTGGTGAGATTGGATCCCACGGGAATATATATATATTTATATCCAACCAAAGCTTTTAATTATAATAATAAATAGCCCCTTAGGAAATTGCCTTTTGACATCATTGTGAAAACATCTTTTCATTACAGTATGGGTATCAGGTGATGCTTTAAATTTGAGAAAACTCCCCATGGGATAAATTTAGGGGAGTTTCATGTCTATCTCATGCACCTAAAATTCTGAAAAAATCTATAATTTAGCAATAAGTATTAAGGAAGTTAGAAGGCATTTATCCTAAGCAACTTTCTAAGGAGATGATAAAGTCTCATAATTTATATCATGATTAAAGTTGATGGTGAAGCCATTTGTTTTCCATTAAGAAAGCAGTCTTTTATTTGTGGTGAAGATTCTACATTTCATTTGTAGTAAATAATTCTTCAGGAAGGAAGATGAGATTTCCTAGAACATGCAATGAATATAAGTGAGATGACTTTTTGGATTAAGGCATTCTCAGCTCTTCTTAAAAATCCCTGTTTTAGACAAAAAATTCAAGATATCTTTCTTTTGTCATCATTTCTCTACTGGATCCAAGTGAAAGGAATGTAAATCAGGCAGAGCTTTCTTTTAGGGTGTCCCCTGTGGATTTTATGGATTTGTTAAAAATATCATGGAATTACTGTAAGGTTTCAGTCCAGTCAGTAATTAAGGACTTAGAGAAGTGGATGAGTCTGATACTGAAAGGAGCTACCAGGAGCACTTGTGCTGTGTGCTGGGACTCAACTTAGGGCCAGAGGAAGAACCCAAGCCAGCCGGGAGCCAGTCCCTGCCCCTTGGGGGAGCATTTTTAGTATGGAATTGGACCGATTTTGCTCCAAGGGTGAGCTTTAAATTTCAGAGTTTTAATGTCAAAGCCAACAAGGATGGAAAACGAGGTGATCACCTTGATATTACATTACAAAATGTGAACAATCTTAGCAACATTTTAAAGAGTAACTTGCTGCAGTTCATAGCACCCATGCCTCACTCTATTTTTATTTAATTTTGTTCAACGCCTTAAATCTGGGCAAGCTATATATAGATTAATAAACAATAAATGCATGATAGCAATGACCATTATGCTTTTGGGACAGATTAGTGATTTCTATCATAAATACAATCATACTGCATTCATTATTTTAGATTCATTTCTATCTTATATTTTATAGCTTAGTCTGTTAAGGTACACTTTAGTGTTGGGCAGTAGAGTATTTTTGTCTTAGGGGGCATCACATGTACACAGTATCTTTCTGGGATGTCCGAAATGCCTGATCCCCAGCGGAATTCACAGGGTGACACTGATGGTTATCTCACGTCTCATGCATGCCCGCCCACGCTGAGACACGGGTTACTCACACTTTGATTCCTGGCCCAGTTAGATGCACAGCAGTTTTTAGGTTAGAAATCAGTATTTTACTGCCCCTGGAGGCGAACAGTAACTTGTTGACCATATTTCCCTGCAGTGGGCCTTGCTCCTGCACTGGCAATGATTTCTGTTGTTACTGCACGCCCTCCAGCCTCCCTGGTAGGGCTGGGAGATGGGAGAGCTGAGGAGCTTATTTTCATGCAACGCTGTTAAACTGTAGTCGGAGCATTCCCTGTAATTAAAAGTTTAAGGACTCGCACAGAAAATAAAGATTTTCGGAGGGTGAGGTGACCAGCATCCAGCTGTTCTCACCAGGACGTGAGGAGAGGCACTGTGACGGTGATCGAGGCTGGATTTGTCACTCTGACCAGTCCGGGGACCCAAGGGGCCTTCGGGGTTCCCTGGCCCCAGCTCCCTGAAGCAGTTTTTTGTTTCTGCTTTTAATTCTCACTGCCCTTTTGAATTTTATTTTCATTTCCTCTAACGTGGTGCAGCAGGTGTCTTCACAGACGTTTTTCCGCTTTGCCCTGTAAACGTAACTTTCCCCCTTCAGCTGCCTTTCCTAACCTTGTGCGGTTGTGTTGCGCGGACCTGGCCCGTGGTTTCTACCCCTTCTTCCAGCCTTGGCTGCCTGTCGCGCAGCCCGCCCCTCTCCTGTCTGTCCTCTCCGTCCTGTCCTCCCCCTCCATCCCTCTGCGATTAAACTAGGTCTGCCGCAGGCACCATCCCCAGCCCAACTGCTTGCTTGTCCTTCCTTCCTTTTCTAAGCACCGCTTTTTCGTATTAAATACTGAACCACACACACTTCGAACAGAACTCCAAAGCCCAGTGTGTGAAGGAGCCTTTGCCCCCGAGCCCCCTGCGGCAGCCCCGGGCGCCCACCCGCTAACCGCCTGCCTTCTCCTCCCCAGGCCCCACGGGCAGCGGCCCGGGCCCGACGGTGCGGGGCTCGCTGGCGGCCACTGCCCTGCTGCCCTGCCGCTTCCCCGCGCTGCCTGCGCCCCCGGCCGGGGCCGGCGAGGCCCTGCGCATCAAGTGGTCCAAGATCGAGGCGGACCCGAGCGGAAGGGACCTGAAGGAGACCACGGTGCTGGTGGCACACGACGGGCACGTGAAGGTGGGGCAGGACTACCGGGGCCGCGCGTCGGTGCCGGCGCAGCCCGAGGCGGGCGACGCCTCCCTGGCCCTGGGCGCCCTGCGCGCCAGCGACGCGGGCCGGTACCGCTGCGACCTGCTGCTGGGCGTGGAGGACGTGCAGGCCAGCGTGGGGCTGGCGGTGGACGGTGAGCGCGGCCGGGCGGGGCCCGGGGGGGACCGGGGGCACCTGGGGGCCCGGGGGGACCCGACCCTGTGCAGGCAGGGCCGCTGGCCAGGGGCACTGAGCAGACCCAGTTCACTAGAGCTGCAGGAAAGACAGCCGTTTGTCCCTCGCCTCCACCACTCTTACCCCAGGGCTCTCGCCACTTTTTCTTTCTGTCAGGCCATCTCTGCAGCAGATGATTACATTCCTCATGGGAGCTCTGCATGGACAGTTCATCCTTTTTTTTCACCCATTTTCTCTCTCTCCCCCTCCCTCATCTCTCGGTGCCCTTCCCGTTTGCAAAAGATGTTTCCCTGTTGCCTATCATCTGTCTTCCATTTTGCTTTTTACTTTATACTTTGAGTTTCTCATAGAAGAGAAACTATGTGAGTCAAGCTTGTGCATCTGATTTATTTCACTTAGCATTATGGTCTCAGGGTGCATCCGTTTTCCTACAAATGACTCGTTTATCCTTCATGGCAGAGTAGTGCTCCACGTTATGTAAACACCACACTTTCTTTATCCATTCATCTGTTGATGGACAGGCAGGCTGCACCCAAGACTATTATGAGTTTTTCTGGAAGTCCATCTTTGTGTTGTTAGCTGTACTGCCATGGCTGCCTGAATCAATCCAAAACGTCGACCTTTCATGGTCATTTTGACTTTGGGGAACAGCAAGACCTCTCTTTGTGCCAGACCTGGGGAATAAGGTGGGTGAGGTCATAGCCATGTTTTCCATTGGATGGTGCTGAGCAGCCACATTCATGGTATTTTTGATCACACCTGGTAAAGACACTGAGGAAAGAGGACCTCCAGCACTGCTGCAGAAAGTGGCCAGAATGATGGGCGAGGTGTGTTTGAAGTGAGGGAGAGGATTTTTGAGGGGAATTCATGGCAAAGTGTCTTTGACTGTAATAAAAGTTTGAAAAATTTAAACATCCATCGACTTTTTTCAGTCATAGCTCTTACTGGAAATACTGAATACTTCAAGACATTGTACTTACTTCAGTAATCATTACGTCAGTGCTGAGATCTATTAATGATTAATCCACAAGATTGTACATGCTGATCTACATTTTGCTTTAATTTACACATGTGTGCTGTACCTGTATGCATTAACACACACATATACATACACACACACAAATCTTCCTTCCTTTTTCATATTCTTTTAGAGATTATTATACTCTTTGAGTTTACTTTAATGTAAATTTCATTTAACTTTTATCAACAAGATCCTTAATAAATACTATGGTGCATACCACAGTGTCTTTAAAAAAGCCAGAATTCAATAAATACTTAAATTGGTTCAAAACAAGAACTCAGTTAAAAAAATTTAAGGTTAATACACCAGTTGTTATCCATTGAGTCTTGCAATGAGACATTTTAGATTACCCCCTTTCAGTGGTGGTTTATGTCACTTGAATCTAAGTCGAGAGACAAAGCAAAGAAAAATTGCTTTAATTGGGGACAGACATAACGCCATAGCTCTTGAAAGCAGAATGTCTTGGCAGGTCATTAAGCAGAATTCTAAACCCAGACATGATGAAACAGATTTTCCTTCCAACCCTCCATTTCCCTATAAAATATTTACCTCTCAGAAGTATATACAAAGGATTTTATTGAAACTCTTTCTTGTTTAGCCAAAAGGAAATACTCTGAATTTCAGATGCAGCAAAGTAATTTACTGAGCATCTTTTTATGTTCAAATCCTACTGTTCCCCTTCTTATATCTAGTTTTATGCTGTGCAGGTATCTGCTAAATTTCCTGGGTTCTTCTAAATTTTTCATTTCCTTTGGTTACCTAAGATTGTCACGTATTTCTCTCTTTTAAAAATCCCCAAGTGAGGTTAAGGGCTCTTTACAAATTTTCATCATTAAAGAATTAGCAGTGGACTTGCCCTTTGTCCCTCTGAAACAATGAAAATTCTCTACTTAATCTCCTTAGCCCCATGGGGTCTTCAGATTACTCCAGCCATTGCAGACACTGAGCCAGACTGATGCCCCTGCCCTGGTCTAGATGCCCCCCGGTCCCTTTTTAGTGACAGTCTTCAGTGCTCATGGGAGACTTTTAATCAAGAAGATTATTTGAAATTTTGATTAATACCAAACTGACTGAAAACCAGTCAGGTTCCTTTTTGGGTTTTTTTGGTACCAGGGATGGAACTCAGGACCTTGCACTTTCGAGGCGTGGTGGAACCACTGAGCTAAATCCTGGCCATAATCAGATTCTTGCATAAGCCTCACAATCATTTTAACTTATCTCTCATACTTACCATGTAGCACCACACATACTTCCTGCCAGTGTTGAGAGAGGTTCTGTGAAGGTAGAAGTCGGCATTTGGTGATTATGTTGAGTCATACAAGATCAGAAAAGGGCAAATGAGTGAGTTGCTAGTGTTATCTGCCCGGTGGCCACGTGGGTCTTCTTGGGTTGGTGCTGATCACAGGTGTTTATCTGTGAGGTGCTGGTCTGTCCTCCCCAGTGACTTCATTGGCACACACCTCTCTTGGTAGAAAGAGACAATCTGAGGATGAATATGTGGGAGGCAGTCTGCTATCTAGAAGTCAGGGTGGGAAGACAATCTGCTAGAAATCCCCAGCAATTATTAGGAATAAGGGGAGAGTAACATGTATCTCAAACACCAGAATTCATTCCAGATGACAGCAACAACAATAACAACAACAGCAGAAGCCTTTTCAACTGATATGACTCAATAAAATGTCATTCATAAGGCCCAGTTGCCTCAGTTTCCATTTTCCCTGGAGTGTAATTACACTCACTTCCATGGATCGCTTGTAGAATGAGTCATGGTATTTACTACAGTTAAAAATGGGAATCCTTCGCTCCGGAGGAAAGGGAGCCCCTAAAACTCCACCCTGTTTTTCCTAACCCATTTGACCACTCCTTGATCCCTGGAGCATGGTTCCAAAGCACTAGTTTATCCAGCTCCTAAAATGCAACAAAGTGGAATCTGAGGCAAGATCCAGGACACTTTGCTTCTACTCAGGAGAGCTGGAGAGTTTTATTTCACGCCTTCTTTGGCGTAGAAAGGTTACATTTCGTCTCTCCTAGCAGAGGCACCAATTTATGCTAGTCGTACAGCAAAAATGATAAACATTTGCTAAACATTTGGGTAGTTGCCCACCCAACATTTTATCCTTTACCTAATTGGACCTTTAGATGTATCAAGTAATCAGTAACTGTCAGTTCTACCTTGTGAGTGAGGAAATTAAGCTCTAACTTGGAACAAATTAGTGTCAGAAAAAGCTCTTTCTCTAACATACAGTCTATGTCCTTCAAACCCCACTGTACTTCCCCTGAGTATGGCAGTGTTTCATGTTTGGAGGTAGTTGCCCTAGTAAATATTTCATGGGATGGGTCAACATTTCATGCTCTTCTTTTGAGCTGGCCCTGGGTAAAATGATGAAGCAGGAGGTCCCGAATTTGTGGCTCCCTTAACCCTTTGTATTTTCTGCAGAACCTGCTCCATTTAGATGCTCAGCACTCCCAAGAGAGCCCGAGTACTGCTAGTAAATAGGACGGCTGCCTGACACGTGGGATTTAGTGACTTCAGTCTGTCTTGGATTGTGTGCATGTTGAGGGAAAATTCCCAGCTGGAAAAAGTTCTGGTGGAGCAGTGTGTGATACCCGGGTGGAAGGTGTTTTAGGAGCTCCACAAATGAACATGAGTTTTGCACCATAAAATAATGACGAGACTGTCATTACCGTTAGCAGTTGATTTGACGGGATGCTCCAGTGAGAAGTCTCGCGCAGTCCAGGGGTCATCAACACGCTCGTAATTGTTCGCCATTGTGTCTGCAGGGGTTGTGTTTCACTACCGGGCGTCGACCAGCAGGTACACGCTGAACTTCGAGGCTGCTCGGCAGGCGTGTGTGGACGTCGGGGCTGTGATAGCAAGCCCAGAGCAGCTCCTCGCCGCCTATGCAGATGGGTTTGAGCAGTGCGACGCGGGCTGGCTGTCTGATCGGACTGTGAGGTGAGTCGGGGGCCGGGCTGCACCTCAGCGTTGGGGAGTGAGGGGACCGCGGCCCTCACCCGCCCTTCCCTCCCCAGATACCCCATCCGGGTTCCGCGAGAAGGCTGTTTTGGAGACATGATGGGGAAGGCAGGGGTCAGGACCTACGGACTCCGCTCTCCTCTGGAAACCTACGATGTGTACTGCTACGTGGATCGTCTGGATGGTGAGCCGTCTAAGTTTCTGTCGCTTCCCTGGAACTAGGAAACCAGCCGGGGAAAGCCCAGAAGCATGGGTTAGAGCCGGTCTTCGGGCTTGATGGGTCCCACGCAGCAGCACTGTTGAAACGACTGTGTGATTTGGTGCTAAGACAAGCCTGAGGTGGAAAGGGAAAGAGGAGCGGGTGCCGCTGGAGCCATCCTGCCTTAATGCCAGGTTCGCCTTCAGCGGCTGCTCTGGGATCAAGTCCAGCACACGTTTAGAGCATTCGGAATAGAAACCGTAAAGGTGGTTCCTATGCTGGTGAGGATGTCAGGTGTCAAACCACAGTGAATCCAAGTGCGTGAAACACCCGCAAACTCCATTCCAGGCCTCCGCAGCAGGAGGCGATGCCAGTTTCTCACCAGTCCAGGTCTGTACCTCGCATTCAGAGCAGCCATTCATTTATTCAGCCACGCAGCACATGAAGCCAGGCAGCCTATTAAAAGTGCATTCAGAAGTACCCAGCGTGGGATGGTACTCTGCTGGCGTGAAGCCCACGGAGGTAAAGCCCTCTCCTGAAGATGCTTAGAGTCTGATTGATTTGGGGTCTGCCTTTTCCCTCTATCTGAGTTAGGGGTTCTTAAAGACAAGTTTGGGTTCAGTAGTGCCTGTATCATCTACTGACACTGTAGGTGTAGAAGGCATATACAGTTCAAGTTTCTATGACTTCAGAAATGGATATTTTTAGAAGCCTAAATATGTAGGTAAGTAATGATACTATGTTGAATTCTGCTTTTAATTTTGTCCGGGTACACATATAAAGAATGATCTCGAATTTTTTATGTGAAAAATGAGAATGTTGGTCTAGATAATTTCTTGATTTCTTCCATCTTTAAAATTACTTTTTAAAAATTTGGCTTTTATTAGCCCATGTGTGCAGTGCCTAATGACCACATTCATTGTGGTGAGCCAGTACACCCACATAACACATCTTAATTATTTTTACTTCCACTTTCCCTGTTTTCTCCCCTCCCTCTCTCTCTTGGTCCCCTTCTAATTTAAAGAACCATATCCTTGTTTAAAATTCCATGATTCTAGTTTATTTGTTGTGGGTTTATTTGGGTTTGGTTTTGTTGAGATGGGATCTCACTGTGTTGGACCAGCTGGTCTCATACTCCTGGGCTAAGTGAGCCTCCTGCCTCTCCTCCTGAGTAGTCAGGACTGCAGGTGTACACCACTGTGCCTGGCCTGGAATTCTGTAATTCTATCAATGGAATAAAGAACCACCGGGCCCAAAAGTTATAATATTAACAGCTTATATTTTATGCCTTGACTAAATTTGCATAGGAAAGCCTGCTTTCAAGAAAAGTGCTTAAGCGTGTGATTCTCTAGGACTTTAGTTTTCTTTATCACTATCATTTAAACTTGACATTGTATTTTCTAATCCAGAGCTTCAGAATATGGTTTGTTGGGGAATCTAGTTCTAGGGAATAAACTTGATTATTGCTAGTTCAGTAAGGTGGGAGTTTTTATCACTGTTGTTTTAATTTAGACTAATATCTATTCAAGTGTTAGTTTTGAAAATATCTGGGGTGCTGATAATAGAGAAAATGAACCAGAGGTCGTTTTTGAAAAATATGTGCAAATCTAGTAAACCTAAAAGGCTGTTACCAAATACCATTGAAAGGATGGGTATTCAGGTACAGATCACATCTTGGCTTGAATAGACTCCTTGATTGAGAGACAGGTTTATAGGCTCATGATATCCCTGCAGGGGCAGCCCAGAGAACCCTCTGTGTGTCTGTTCTTCATGTTATTCTTGGAGAGTGTCTTAGTTACTTTCTAATTGCTGGGACAAAAATACCTGACAATCACAAGTTAAAGAAAAAAGGGTTTATTGTAGTGCATAGTTTGTAGTGGTTTCAGTCCATAGTCAGCGGGCTCCCAGGCAGAACAGCAAGGCAGAGGAGAAATAGTCCATAGCAAGGCAGGCAGGAAGCAGCAAGCAGTGTGCCTCCCTTTCCCTTTTTATTCCACCCAGGCTACAAGCCTGGCAACACCCACACCCAGGATGGGCCTTCCCATCATCCACACCCAGAACTGTGCTAAACCAATCAATGAAATAACCCAGTTTTCACACCCATAATCCAGTATCACACACCCATTACCCAGCCAGCTTCCAAAACCCCCACTTATGGGTGCATGAAGCTTTGATGGGACATCTAAGATTAAGCCATAACAGGGAGCTAGTAGAATTATGCAGACTATAGAGTCTAGTCTTACAGATTCCTCAACTTCAAAAGAATTCTTTCAAGACTAGAGGAGGCTTCGATAGGAGACCTAGAAATTCCTGTCCCTGTGTAAGTACTGCTTAAAAGTCTTGGTGGTGGAAGTCCTGCCAAAGATCCCTTAGCTACCCTGCACCCACTGAGAGCTGGTCCCTCAGTGTCTGCTTAGAGTGGCAATAACCAGTGTCCAGGAGTTAGGCCTTCAGAGCTCTGAGGTTGTGAGCAAAGTTCAGGTGAGGAAGGATTCACTGGTCTAAGCAGAAGTCCTTTCCCACCTTCAGATGTTCTGTACAAAATCAGTGTGTGCCCCAATGTAACACAAGTCTGCTGTATGAAGTTACTTGGAATAAATGTTCCACATATTTGATATTGAAAACTTGCAGTGTGGAATGTGGCATAACGAATTTAACAGAATTTGAACCTTTTTGTTTTAGTACATAAAAGTTGGAAGAGAAAGAAAAAAAAGATAATTATAAATACTACATTGACCACTGGTTGAAATCTGTGTTAGCAAAATAGCAAGGCTTTTGTTTGTCTCACAGAGAAAGCTTGACAATTCTGGAGGAGATTCAGGATGTTTGTACTGTCAGTGTCCTGGAAATCTTTCCTTCTTTGTCTATTGGCCCTTAGAATAGTTAGCAAATCCTTGGGCACCATTCTTTCTTCTGCCAACCTGAAATTGGGCTGGGCTGGAAGCTAAAGAGAACTTTTATGGCTGATGTTGTAAGTGGAAGACCACAGATCATTCTCCTAAAGTTCTCTCATTCCTTTTGTGAATTTTATGTCTTCACTTTGAAGTAATAACCATTGCCTAAACTGTGAATGGATGAAAATTCTGTGGGAAGTTGAATGCATGAAAATTACTTCTCGCAGTTCACTTGTCACATCAATAAAAGATTATTTGGAGGTGAGCCCAAATTCCTCATAAAAGATTTACATCAATTGCTGTATTGTGAGTCTAGTAATTTCCACCAGTATTTTTTTATTTTTTTGAGAGCCAAGTGTATATGCCTAAGAGATGGTGAAGGCTGTAAAAATTAGCAATACCCATGCACTTAGAGTGCTTAGGACATATACACAGGAGTTATGAGCTAACGTGCAATTGCTGCAGATTAGAAGCTATATTATACCATATGGTCTATTGAAAAAGTCAGTTAAATATAAAATAAAATCCTGCTAAAAAAGGTAATTAATTTTCTGTTTTATTTGTCATGAAAAATGTTTAGTTGACAGAATGTTGTCTGTTTTTTCCTTCTGTCTTGTTTTGTAATTTCATATTTGACATAAGTATTTTATATAAAATTAAAATAATTACATTAAATTAAATCCAGGCAGTTTTCTGGCTCTTTTTCTAAGGTGAGTTCTGTAACACATTTCTGCATATGAGTACAACACTCGATTCTATTTTTAAATATAACCTAAGAAGTGTAAAAGAGCAATGGCATTAGCTATCTGCAATAGGAGCATTTCAGTACTAGTCTGTGTTCTTAGAGATGCTGTAGAGGTTATCGGACATGAGTCAGCAAGAGAACACTTATTAATAAATTAATGGAATTAGAATTCTGAAATAGCTGTACAGAACTTAATATCCAGACAGTATTTCTTATTAGGAAGCTCAACCAATGTTTCCCCATTAATAGATTTCAAAAATATTGAGATGTCTTTGGAATGGAGTTGATCAAATGGTTCACAAAATTAGATTGTGATTACAGATGCACTGATTGATGATGGGATGACATCTTGATGAACCCACTGTGAATTGAAAATACATTCCACACGCCTGCCCGACTGCGCAGCCCAGTCTAGCAGCACAGTGGGGTGCAGAGCAACTGTGCTTCACCCTTGAGATCACGTGGCTGACGGGGGCTTTGGCTTGGTGCAGCTGCCTGGTGCTGGAAAAAAAGCAAAATGCAAAATTGCAAGTACGGTTTCTTCGGAATACATATTGCTGTTCTACCACCGTGAAGTCTGGGAATCATAAATCGAGCCACGGTCTCTTTGGGATCATCCATGTTTAGCAGTAGGAAGGGCAGTGCCTGGACAGTGTGCCACAGGGAGTGCCTTGTAGTTACACACAGGAGGGACCTCACTCCCACCCAGTTCTCACCTTTCCTCCTTGTGAGGTCCTGGGCGAGGCTTACCTCTTTCAGCTCCAGTTTTGTCTTCTGTGAAACCAAAGCGATGTGAACACTTACTCTGTAACCACAAGGTGAGGATTGTGTAAGACAACGTGTACAGTGTTCCTCGCAGTGCGTGGCGCTGAGTAAGGGCTTAATAACTAATAACTATTACGAGAGTTTATGGGTATGAGGCAGGTCCTTTTTCTCAGGGAATTCATAGGAAGAACTGAATTGGGTTCAGTGTAAGGAACATTTTTCTTATGGTGGATACTGTTGAATGTTGACAGAACACCGAGGAGCTATGGAACTTCTTTCCTGGAGGTTTCTTAAGAATAGCACCAACCTGAGGTGCTATGATTTCAGCACTCTTTCAAAGAGTCACGATGCTTTGAAGGGTATAGGAAATACTTGGACATTTATTTATTGAAATGGGACATTTGATGAAGAAGGATTATTTTGAATATGATAACTTAATGCTTGAGCATCGCTAAATAATTAAAAATGACACTGGCAAACTAAGAGTTCCTATATTACCACTCCTGAATGGATTGAAATAGAATTATTTCTGGGTTAGAACATTATCTTTCTCAATCACAGTGTTCAGGAGTGCCCTGGCG